TCTCTCTCTCTTTCTTTCTCTCTCCACAAACATGTGATCCACTAGTAGAAGACTATTTGTTATGCAGTCCACAGATAAGTTGAGAGTATTACAGTGTCGTTCACTCTACGAATTTGAGTTTTCAATTTGAGTAGAGATGTGACATTTTTTAAAAATTTTTTACTGAAGCAAAAAAAGTTAGATGTGATATTTTCTGAGAGCTTTTTACTATAAAAACTTAAAACTAAAAACTCAAATTGGTAAAATGAACGAGGCATACGTGATTAGTCAAAAGGACCAAGGAATTGTTACTTTAAAGTAACATGCATTAGATTATTTAATTGGGTGCACTGAATGCTCTTATTTCACGATCTTATTCTAAGTTATTAATTATAGAATATTATAAATATATATAAGTACGAGTTTTGAATGATTACTTTTTTATCAATAAAAATTTAGTGATGTATCGTAATAATAATTTAATCTCATTAATTATTATAAATTTTTTTATAAATTATTTAATTTATAACAACCGTCCGATTAATATTTTATGATTAAAATAATATACATATTAATAAATAAATATTGGAATAACAATTAAAACCACACTAACATATAAATGTAATTTGTGTCTTTATGTGCCTTAATCATCTAAAACAATAACGTTTCAATAAAAATTTAATATAGTGACAAAAAAAAAGTCTTCATTTAATTATTAGGCGGTGAATTCCTTTCTTCGTCCATCCTTTTTCTTTTAATAAAGTAACATTAGTTTTGTAACTAACTTGATAAAGGCAAATTTTTTTTTTCACTAGGTAATTTGCACAATGATTTTGTCATTATTTATAAGTTAGACTCTAATCTTTTTTAAAAATGTTGATAATTGATAAGAATCCAATCTCATTAATTGTCATAATTTTTTTATCAACTATCTAATTTATTATAACCGTCAGATCAATATCTTATGATTAAAATAATATACCTATTAATAAAAAAATATCGAAATAATAATTAAAACCACACTAATTTATAAATGTAATTTGTGTCTTTATTTGCGCTCTTAATCATCCAAAATAATAACGTTTCAATGAAAATTTAATCTAGTGACAAAAAAAGTTAGGACCTTCTCTGGTACTTTAACATACTGGTAGACCAATTTTTTTAATCGTTGAATCTGCATAAAATCACGTAAAAGTCAAAAAATACACAAATTTAACGGTTAGAAAAACTTGACCTACTGATATATCGGCGTACGAGAGAATCTCCTAAAAAAAGTATGTATTTAGTTATTAGGCGGTAAATTCCTTTCTTTGTCCATATTTTTTCTTTTAATAAAGTAACATTAGTTTTGTAACTAACTTGAAAGGGGCAATTTATTTTCATTACGGTAATTTGCACAATGATTTTGTCGTTATTTATAAGTTAGACTCTAATCTTTTTTTTTTAAATGTTGATAATTAGACTGTTTTTGGTAGAGTTGAGAAAGGGAATGAAAGAAATTGGAAGAAGAATTATGGAGAATAAAACGGAATATTGGGTTATTTTGTATAAAACAAATTGGAAATAAAAAAGTTATAGGTGTATGAGGACACCATTTTTAATCCTTCAAATTTTGTAAAGTGGAGAGAAAATTTTGATGAAATAAACAGTACTCTAAATAACCGTTTTGACTTTTGACACCTTGGTCACACCCATTTTCTTTATTGTATGAGGGTATAACTGTAAAATAAACTAGATTAGACATTTTTTTCAAGCACAAAAAAAAAAAAAAAACTAGATTAAACATTTTCTCTCTTTATTCCACTTCGAGCTCTACCAACAAATAAGAAAGAAAATTCTATCATTCATTTTTATTTTCATCCCTCTTATCAAATATAGTGTAAACTTAACAATCATGAACATTGCAATCAAATATAGTACAATCATGAACATTGCAGTCCAATTGATAATGGATGTCAATTAATAACTGGTAATTAGGGTATATAAAAATTAAAAAGTGTAAGGTCCAACTTACCAGCCAACAAAATGTTTCAAGCGCATCTTATTAAAAAAAAAAAAAAAAAAAAAACTGAGACATTCCATACATTAATCAACCGTCAATGTTTTTTTAGCTATTAGATATTATATAGAAACGTAGTTAATTTTAAGACTAGGGTCCAATTTACTAAACATCGATGAGTTCATGGCACAAGTAAAAATAAAATTTTTTTTCTTTATTTGTAGTTGTGCAATTAGTAAGCAATAGTTTATACTTTTTAAAGAGGATAACAATGTTGTTATATTCATACATTGAGGAGGAAGATGTAAATGAAGTTAAATGTTGGATAATAAAAAGAAACTATAATCTCGTTCATTTCACTGATTCGAGTTTTGCTATAGTAAAAAGCTCTCAGAAATAGTTACATCTAACTTTTTTGCTATAATAAAAAGCTCTCACATAAAATCACATATAAATTCGAATTAAAATTTTGAATTAATAAACTAAACGGACCTTATGGGTATAACTAATGTATACACGGTTTTGCTAGAATATAAGGCACAAACAGCCGAAATCTTTATAAAAGTTTATTTGGATATTTGTATTCTTGTAGTTGTTGTATGCACCAATCAAGGAGAAAGTAAGTTTATGCACTTTCTCCTTTCAAAAAAAAAAAAAAACAAAAAAAACAAATTATACACTTTCTTATATATTTTTGTGTGTGCCAAATTATCAGCTATAGAATAGTCATATTTTGTATGGCTACCATTTTTTTTTCTTTCATCTTGATTTACTTCAATGAACTAGGGTTCTCTTTCCACGAGTATGTAGTATGATTTGGCATGAAAATAAGATATTATGACATGATTTATTGTTTTGTATAGCGGCTGTCCAAAGAGTTTTTGGGTCTGAAAAGTTTGTATTTTGTAAAATACCCCAAGAAAAATAACAAATACGTCCTTTTTATGCTCATAATTTAACCTTAAGAAAGTGATTTAATTAAAAACCGGAATAGACCAAAACATAAAGAGCAGCGCTATACAACTCCGCGGAGCTGCAACTCCGCTGACACATGGAGTTGGGCCCCATATAGACCCTACAAGAGCATGGGGTTACTTCATGTATATACGAAGCTAAAGGGCTCCGCGGAGCCATATGACATTTTTAAAAGATATGGTGTTTAGATTTTAATGAGTATAACAATACTCATGAATAATTAATATTTTAGAAATAAATTGATTAATATAAGAGAATTAAGTAGACTAATTATGGTGATTTTGACTCAACAATTAATGTAATATTAGGAAAGAGAAATATAAATATCAAAAGCTATTATAGAAAAAATATTCAAATATTAAATTTTTATTAAACGAGTGTACCACATAAAAAAAATGACTTGGAACACCCGATCCACTGAATAATTTTTTTTAACGAAAAATTCCATCAATAAATTAAAAAATTACACAAACATAACAAATGACCACAATTTATAAGGGAATTCAACCCTGGACATGAGGTGGATCAGTGAAGATGGATGAAGCACAAGGTTGAGCACAAATGTCAAGACTCAATGGGGAAAGACCTGCTTGACACAAACAAAAACAAGCGCGACCAAAGCTCGTTAACAAGAACCACTATAGTAGATGGATAAAAACCAGTCAATCAAGACCAAACCCCTAATACTGAGGACGTAAGCGACACAACCTAAAAATAAATTTAGGAGTGAACAAACACACTCATCGTCAATAACCAACTCATATGGGTGGGACACATAAACGAAGTCGGAATGTAGATAAACCACTTCCGTTATTACAATACATTAACTTAGTGAAAAACATCACCTTTATTTGATCCAAACAAAAACTAAAAATATAAAGGTCTCGAAACACATGAACGAAGCATTCGATGACATGATGCCTTCTGAATCCAAGTGGAGCATAAGAGGCAACACTGCGAGAAAAAGAGAGGGTCAAGGACGAAACTTCAATCCACGATGTGTGGGAAGCACGAAGTGTCGTTGCTGATACCCCACCCAACCTTACACCAAACCAAAGGCGACATGGTGCTGAAAGGACCAAGGCCCCCAAATTATAGACCCATTCGGACATCCATACTCTCTTAATATAGTGGCTGAAGGCACCACCTCCACCGTTTCCAATAACACTAAAACCTCAACCCAACTCAGAATTAGACTCGCCCTCACCCACCATCCTCAGCCAAGCATCGCGCCCCAAGACCCACCTTTTAGGTCCGGGAATCCGACGACCCACCCAAGGTGGGGGTGGATTCTTGCCCTCCCACAAGAACCAGTTGAGACAATAAAAAAAACAGTGAAAACCCTAGAGGAAAAGGAGGAGTCGAGAGAAATGTTTTGGGTATGTTCTTTTCTCAAACTTAAGTTTAATATGTGAGATAAAACATTGTAATAAAAGTTAAATTTAAATTTTTATGAGAGAAAATACTATAATAAAATATTTAAATTGTGATTTGAGTTAGATAAAAGAACATACTCTTTGTCTACTTATTAATTTCTCTCGACAAAGTATAAAAAATATGGAGAGAACTATCAATTAAAAAGGAACGCATGTTGTGTCATGATCGGTATTGTCGATCATACCAACCATAGCTTCTTCTTTTTTTTTTTTTTTTAGCCTTTTTCCTGAAAATTTTTCCTCCTTTTTTTTTCTTGGTAAATAAATCGTTTTTTTTTTTTTTTTTTTTTTTTTTTCCTTTTTTTTTTTTGGAAAAAAAATTTTTTTTTTTTTTTTTTTTTTTTTTTTTTTAAGTAAACCTCCCAACTCTAACCTTTTAGGGGGGGAAAAAAAACGTTTACACATGAATTTTAAATCCCAGCCGTATAATTCACACGAGAAAAAACAAGTACACCGTCCGATCTAAAACGGAGAAGACACACGGATAGCGAATCCCATCCGTTCGATCATCCACTACTCTACTCCAGCGGTCGCGGCCATAACCCCGACTCGTTCCAAAACTTTAGAGAGAGAAATAGAGAGTCGCAGAGGAGAGAGAAATAGAGAGTCGCAGAGGAGAGAGAAAGAGAAGGAAGAAGAGCAATCGGAGGTAAGTTTTTCCCAATTTCCTTTCCACTTTTCAATTTCTCGTTTCGCTCTTTGGTCGATCGATTAGGGTTAAAGAGTTGTTTTTCTTCTCCCATTAGATTGAAGTATTTGATTTCAATTTAGGGTTTCGATTTTTGAAACGATTTATGTTTCTGGGAGATTCTTATTTTGCAAGGTCTGATTATTTAGGGTGTTTGGTTTCTCTCTCTTGATTTTGCACTATTGCAATTGGCATGTTTCTTTCGTGTTCTTATTCGTTAATATTGCATGCTAATTTAGGGTTTTCGTGAAATTCAAGGCTAGTTTTTTTTTTTTTTTTTTTTTTCCTTTTTTTTTTGGGGTTTTTAGGGGGGATTTAGAGGAGATTAATTTTTCTGTGATAACTGAGATTTGTTCTGAATTTAGTCATGTTGTGATGATGATGAATGGAATATACGTTGAAAATTGAAAAATTCCAGGTTTGCATATGTACTTTTGTTGTGTTTTCTTTAAGGAAACACTGAAAGAGTACTACTTTGTTGGTGTTCACATTCAAATTCTCTTTGTAGATTGCCCATTGGAAGAAACGAGAGTGAAAGAAGTGTTTTTTTTTTTTTTTTTCCAATTTATTCTGTGATATTTTTCGTCAAGAGATTTATTCTGAATTTAGTCATGTTTTGATTATAAGATGATGATTATGGAATCTACGTTGAAAATAGGACAATTTCATTTTTTTTTTTCATGTCTTGTGTATTTCTGGAAGGAAATAATGAAAGAGTACTACTTTGTCGGTGTTAATATTCTAAATTCTCTTCCCATATGAAGAAATGAAAATGAGAATGAAAAGCAGTGTTTATTTTTTTCATTTGTAGATAAACTGAAATGGCTGGTCACAAGGTTGCACATGCCACCCTGAAAGGCCCAAGTGTTGTCAAGGAGTTATTGATCGGATCGGTCCTCGCTTTGGCCGCGGGGAGCCTCTGGAAAATGCATCACTGGAATGAGCAGAGGAAAGTGAGGACATTCTATGACTTGCTCGACAAGGGTGAGATTGGTGTTGTGGTAGAGGAATAAGTTTTAAACAGATCCTCAAATTCTGCCGTTTTGAGTTGTTTTCGTTTTTCCATTTGGCTCTTGAACCTAATGTGGGTTTCAGTATTGAGTTTTGGAGAATAAATTCCCCATACTGCTAAAATGTGGATTGTACATTTCTACTGTTGCTTCATGTAGAAATCAATGTACTTACTTCGCTTTGTTTTCAATTTGCCGGTGTTTCTTCATTTGGGTATTTTTATTTTTATTTTTATTGGCATTGCCTTTCTCAATTTTATTTATTGATCTTTTGGTATGCTATTCTTTTAAGGGACCTTCTCTGGTACATCAATATACCGGTAGGTCAAGTTTTTTGTCCGTCAGATCTGTATAAAATCATATAAAAGTAAAAAAGTATGATGATTGAAGGTTAGAAAAACCTGGTCTATCAGTACACTAAGAGTATCCGAGAATCTCTCTTTTTTTTTAAATATGAGTTCTTGATTTTTGTAGGATCTTGGACTTCATCTATTTGTAAATGTTCTGTAAATACAGATTGGATGTTTCTGTTAATACACACGTTTTTTTTTTGGGGCTTTCATTATAATTTTAAGGAAATAATGCCGGGTGGCCTTTTGTATCCACATCTTTTCATAAATAGTCGAATTTTTTTTATTTTACGAAAATGGTCGTTTTGTTTACATGAGTATTGACCTACGGTCAATCATAATTGACCGATTCATTATTAATTTATTAATTATTTATCATTAATAAATATATAATTTGTTGATTTAAATTGATTAATTATTAATAAATTATAATTAGTTATTAATTAATGTTGATTAGTAATAAAGAATAGTCGAGTCAATCAGTGATTAACCGATAAGTCAGTGATTGACCACTAAGTTAATGAAAATCGTTATTTTTGTAATTTTGTAAAACTTTGACTATTTATAAAATAACATCTTTCAAAAAAGGTCATTTCTGCTGAAATCCCTATATTTTACATGGTGAATTAGATTTTGTTCTCATTGTTTTAATCTGCGGAGGATCCTTTTTCTTCCGTGAGAGTTCTTTATAGAAACCAGTCTTCATCTTGTATGAATTCTCTAAGCTAGGCAAAAAGTTGAGGCAAGAAAGCGCTGTGAGAATTTGCTTTGAGAGCAATCTTCACGTCTTATAAACCTTTTTAAAGCTTGGAAAAAAACTTTTAAACATGTTTTACTTAAAATTATTAGGATATAAAAAATCAATCATCTTATATAATTACCTTGGTGCCATAACCTTCGGTTAAAATCTGTTAACCGATCAGTCCGGATTGTATTGGATTGAGAGGGTTTTAGATTGATAAGAGATTGAGAAGATCTCAAGTTGTAGTGTTTATAGATTCAGTATTTCTTTATTCGTGACTCCGGATTATTTTTGTTGAAGCTATCTTGTCATAATTGATAGGGTTGTAACAAATTTGAAGTTGTTTATTGCTATTATATGTTATGATGTGTCTATTTGGGTTTTAGATGTTGAATTACTTTAATTTTTAAATGGACGTTTGGTTCGAGGATTCGTACTATAGTTCGAATTATGATTCGTGACTCGTTACAGTGTTTTCTCTCATAAAAAATACACATAAATCGAGAATAATTCTGAATCCATCAACTAAACGTCAAAATTCAATTCGCAAAATTCGATAATTTTGGATTGAGTTGGAACTTTTTTTGGATTGGTATAGCTTTGGATTAGATTGCGGATTACCCCCTCTTAATTCAATCCATGACACCCTTTAATCTCTACAACAGAAGTGAGAAAGTATAGCCCTTGTCATTTTCATCATCAATTTTTTTTTTTTTTTGTGAGCAGTGCTAACCCTAATCCTTCTTAGGACACACTTGAATCTTGATACGGTTACTTGCTGAAGGTGATTTGTGTAGGAGTGATTTCAAGCGTAGCAAATTCTTTTTCAGAATTTGTAGTAAATAGCATTTTCACAAAACTAGTAAGTAAATAGTAATAAATAGATAATTTATTGTTATTTACTTTAAATTTTTTTTTTTAGTAATTACTTGAAATATATTTAAAATCTGTCATTTACGGAAAAGTGCTATGTACTTCTTTGTTCCATTGTTTTTTCCCCGACAAAAAACATGGCTTATGAGCTTACCAAGGCCCCAAACTCCAATAGTATATTGCTTCATGTCTTAAAAATTGATCTCAAAGTAAAAAAAAATGTTTTCTAAAACATTGGCATATTATTTTAATATGATTAAAAAAGATGTTAAGAGTATGTTTTGATATAACATAGGTATTAAAATGATTTTATTTTTATTTACTTTCATCTCATATTTGATTCCATTAAATTATAAAAATGTTAAATACAATATACTAAATTTGACCATAAATTAAAGTTAATTTATTTAGTCATTGACTTAATTAAGATAACATTAAAGCTAATCATACTATAGTATCAACGGACCTACATAATTCAAGTTCCAACAATCATAGTCCAATTTCGAGTTAACTTTTAATTAATGAAGTAGCGATCATGAGAGAGTCGAAAAATATGTAAAATAACGAAGGTTAGTCCATTATTCTATTTTTTAAAATATATTAACCATCATATGACTCATACAGTTCTACCGTTCTAATTATAAAATCCTTTTTTTAAAAAGAAAATATGACTTTATTTTTCAAGTCACATTATTTTATTTATCTGCTAATGTTTATTGCAGGCCTTTCACAACATTGGTTGATTTATTTTTTTTTTTTTGAGAAATCTTATAAATTTTCTCTGAACTTTGTTATTTGTGTCAACATGCCTCATGAACTTTAAAATATGCATGTTGTGCCCCTTAACTTTTGTCACTTGTGTTAACATGCCCCCCAAGGTTAACTCTGTTAAATTTTTTAAACAGAAATACTTATAAATGCCTCTCAACTTTGTCACTTGTGTCAATATGCATTTTAAACTTTAAAATGTACCTGTTTTGCCTACCAAATTATGATACGTTTCTAATTTTTTTCCCTTCATCTTGATTTTATAAGTTTTTTGAACGAAAATATTGATATGACCATTAAATTGTTAATTATCTATGATATTTAAGGTTTATTGAATACATTCTCCTCTAAAAATGTTAGTTAAACACCAATTTTCAAAACATTAGTTAATTAGAGACAATATAGAGGGAAAAAAAGAGGAGCAAATCTGTATAATGTAAAGAATTTTGTCAGTTCTTTTTCTTAATATTTCACCTAAATAGAAGTGCTCGACATAAAATATGTTTATGCTTCTTACATATATAACATTTCTAAATCTAAATGCGTTCAACTCATTTATATTATTATACCTTTTAAAAAAATCAATACAAATCCTAGAAAACTCATTAACTTAATAAACTTTAATGGTCAAATATCATAAATAATTAGTAATTTAATGGTTATATCAACATTTTCATTCAAAAAATTGATAAAATCAAATTGAAGGGAGAAAAGTTAGAGACATATCATAGTTTGTGGGCAAAACATATACATTTTAAAGTTCAGAGAGCAATTGACAAAAGTAACAAAATTCAGGGGGTGTTTATTAGCATTTACGTTAAAAAACTTAACGGAGTTAACCTTAAGGGGCATATTGACATAAATGATAAAATTTAAGAGCACAATATGTATATTTTAAAACTCAAAAACATGTTGATACAAGTGATAAAGTTTAGGAGAAGTTTATAAAATTTATCCCTTTTTTTTTTTTTCTTCTTTTTTGAAACTTTGAAAACATTGGTTGATAATTGATATGCGTGCGAGGAAGGCTTAGGACTGCTATAAGAATTTTTGACTTGGGGGACATCTGGAGATGGAATGTCATGATTTTGGGACAACCTTTCAACAAGATCATTTTTTTTTAATAGAATAAACATTGTCAATATATTTTTTTATAAAAAAAAAAAAGAAGTCTGATTTCGACCCGAAAAGCTAATTTTAGATATGTTAAGCTAACAATAAGGCCAGCTATGTTAAGCTTTTCAAAGATACGATTGCAACCGAAGACTGAACCACGCTAGTAACAATGATTGTGTCCTCTCAAATTTGTGGACAACCTTTTTTTCTTTTTTCTTTTTTTTTTTTTTTCAGGAAAAAGACTATAAATTTGTGGACAACTTCACTTTCCTATTTAATCACGTTTGTGTTTAAAATTCGAGAGGTAGTTTCACAATGTAGGAATGAGAAACGAGAACTCTAATTCTTAAAGCTCGTAGTATTGATTCACTATTAATTAAGATTTATTTTCAAGAATTCCCCTTAAATTATAAGCATCGTAAAACATCTCTTCCAATCTATAATAAAACGTAATATAATGAAACATTAAAAAAAAAAAAAAAAAGTCCCCTCCATTAGTTTTTTGATAAATCGACATGTAATTAGTTTGTAATACATAATTTGAGGGTATTTTAATAACTCTTAGTTTAAAATTTAATTTAGATATATACGACAACAACAAGCCTTACAACTAAAAACGTTTTTTCCCCGCAGTAGAGCCAAGCAATTACACATAAAAACTTTGCCACAAAACTTGTAGCTTCCTCAAAAAGTTATTGCAAATTAGTTTATACATATAAAGTAGGAACCTCACACTCAAATCGGTATCTAACTAATCAAATTAGAACACGTCATTTAATAAATTTACATATCAAAACAAGGAAAAGTTAGTTTAAAAGATATTTCACCCAATCAAAATCAGACAAGTAGTTTTGAATCCCTCGTGTAAAGCTACTCCTCAAACATAACTGAAGTAATTAAGCATGATATGAACCAACAGATATGAAAAACAATAGCTACCAGACTATCATATGGTTCATAATCATATAAACACATTAGTGTGTACTCATAAGGATGCAACTCACTATCCATATTAGAAACAAATTCCTTAGAAAATTAGACAGAACATAAAAACAGGAGTAGTTTCAAAACTTGGAATGCCGTCTCAAGTCATTCAAATTTCATTAACTAAAAACTGACAACTGACAACTGACTCTGTTTTAGTTCCCAATTGCAATTGAAGTAAATCTTGTCCGCTTTCGGGTATCAGCCTCCAAATTCAAACTCTAGCCCTCTTGCTACTGCAACCTGGGCATTTGTACTGCTTGATGTGTTCAGCCTTCGCAGGTGTAATCTTCACACACTTTCCATGGAACCATCTCTCGCACACATCGCAACAAATCCAGAACTCGTCTGCACCATAGTTATCCCCACAAGCCCCACAAGTAGCACCCTGCTCGTCGTCTTCTTCTTCTTCTTCTCCGCCGCTTTCATGATCTTCCTCCTTTGGCGGTGGAGACATCTTAACTCCCTTGGTCTGGGACTCAGATTGCCGAGACTGCTTAAAGGCGAAGTATATCAAGTAGTAAGTAAACTATAAAACATGAGATTGAAAAGGAAATAAAAATATATATGTATATGTATATATTTAATAAAACTTCTTCTCACCTTGCCACTTGATTTGCTTTTGCTGCTGTTGTTATGAGTACCGGGTTGGTCCTTTGGTTGCTTGACAGTACCTGTGACAACCTCAAATATGGTAGGAAGATCATTTATCATCTGGAAAAGCCTCTTCCTGTAAGTTCCAACAAACCAAATTAGAACCGTGCCCGACTTGATTTAATACTGGTACAGAAAGATGAAAATTTACTAGGACTTCCAGCGAAGGCAACACTAGTCTGCATAAAGAATTTTCTACATATTTATGAATTTACACAATGCACTAATCATGGCCGAACAAAAATGAAATTTGTAGTGAATATTGCAAGTCTTGTATTTGAAACAAAAAGTATTATAGTCTAGATGAGAAGTCTATAGATAAGTTTCATCCATTCATCTTGGCTAAGTAATTAAGGCTCATCTTGACGATATATATGATTGACTTCAGAAGCACATGCAAAGACGGTTTCAGATTTGAAGTATAAGACTCTGTTTAAGACAGAAATCATGTGACCAACATTATACTTGCAAGCGACGCCGATATGGGATGCATCCAAAGACCTGTCACCTGAACTCAAGCAAGAAGGCTTAATACCTTTTAGTTTCCGAAATACCATGATTCAGATCACACTGCATCAAAACACACTTATAAGAAGTGAAACTTCTCAAGCAAGAGTGCAGAGTCATATGACTATTTCCTTTCGCTTTGAAGAATTAGTATTTCATTTTGTAAAGATTATTAAATTGATAGTTCTTATAATGAAAAGACCAATCCCTGTCAAGTCCTCAGCAGAAATCACCATGGCTAGGAACTAAACACTTTCACATTTAACTGATAATCAGGAGAAGGAAGATAAATGGTCCCAATAAGCAATACAAGCAAAATTAGTTAATGAGTAATTGTAGACTTTAGAGTCTAGATCAATGCTAGAAACGACCTACCCAGGAAGGTCTACCCAATAAATCTATCTTTCTAATGAGTGAACTTATTTAAGTTTACTAGCTTGAGCATCCTGTAGGAAGAGGTGAGCAAAAAGAAACTCATGTTTCACTTAGAAGATAATCCCACAAAAACATAATGGCCTAAAACATAGAGGAAAGAAAACAAAGTCTAGAATGCTGAAAAACTCCTCAGATCATTTAAAAGCAGATGGCCTAAAGCTATTCAGAGCCTAAAATGTGAGTCTCCGGAACAACATATTATCTTGTATATTGCTTTGCGCCAAAAAAGAGGGTTAGCCACTTGTCCCATAGTGAAGAGAAGAAAAGTTATGAACTACTCATTATGTTTTCTGCTAGCAATCAGCAAAAGAGAGTATTGCAAAAAGAAACGGTAAGGAAGAAAGGACTAAGGAGTGGAAGAAATATCATAGGAAACAGAGCAAGCATATTCAACAGTTTGAAGTAACAATAACTTATTATTCCCTCCAAGTAAACACCATAACATAATCAGAAGGCATCCGTAAGACACAAAATTGATTGGATTGAAAATATATCTGCATAAATTTTGTCAATGAAACTCTAATCTAGAAGTAAAAGATCAATGATAAATGGACAAAAACATTTCAAGGCCAATACAGGAGAAAGATGGGAGGGAAGCTTCAAATGCCAAAAAAACATAACAAAAGCATTGGAAATAAAGATGACATAAGGAATTTGATGTACAAGTACATACAAGGGATGAAACTTCAATTGGGGGAAAAAATAACCAAAAAGGAGAAAACTGATGCAACAATAAGTATTCAAGAGGCCAATCACGAATTAACATGCTATATTTTGTGCATAGCTAGGGGAAACCATTTCATACCTTTCATTCTTACCAAAACCAAAGCGTGCACCAAAATAGAATGCAACAGCAAGCAACCATGAATCACTGTGAACTGCAACCAATGACAACCAGTCTTTCTCTTGCATACCATCCCTGGCAAAATTTATGCCCAAGGCTGGCTCCGGAAGCTCTGGAGGCACCTCTTCAACAGGCAGGTTAACTTCCCATGCCTCGTTAGGAAGTCCATACAGACACAAATTCTCCTTCTCTGTGAACCAGAATACACATTCTTAAGAAACAACGAATAATTTTATTCATACTATGGAAAATCGTCGAATTTATAATAGTAAAGAACTTAGAACTTTATTGAATATATTTTTTCCCTCCACTATTTTTTATGCATGTTGATTATAAAGTAAAACATTGGAACAAACAGAATGCTCATTTATACATTAATTAAAGGAATCAAACTTTGTTATGTCGGAGTTAGAAATTATTATGAACGTGTTTTCCAGTTGTCCACAACAATGACATATTATTTTTCCAGAAAGACAAAAATGACGTAACATGTCAACAATCAACACCCAATAGATCTGACTGATAGCAATTAAACAAAATTCGGGAAGTATAAATCATAGTTAAATGAAAACGAAACAGAAACTCAGTTAGCTTTAGAACTCAAACCATCTGTATGTTTACAATGAGCCGTTATGCAAATATATATTGAATAAAGCCCTAAAGCCACGGAATCAACTAAAGATAAGAAATTGCTTCTTAGTGCAAACGTTGCAAAATCATATTCCAATAGTCAAAGTCAAACAATAAAAACCAAAACAAGGGATGCAAGATATATAAAGAATTCAATATTCTCTACCAGAATTGCTGCTTTTCCTTCGTTTTTCCTAATGGCCTTCATTTTTCCTAATGGAGACAACCCACCACAGCCTGATAGAGGCCCGAAAATTCCCAACCATAAACCACAGATTACTTCATATCACCAAACATATAATTCACATTCACCAGTGCAGTAAGAAGAGAGGAAAAGAGACCAAAATATCAAATATATATTCCATCAAATTCCAAAAGAAAAAATATTGAACTCTAACAAAACAAATCTCATTCTCTTGCTTTTTTAAAAACGGTGAAATCCTCTATATGACAATTTATAGCTTCTAGTAACTACAAGTAGACCAAATAAGGAAGTTATGTGCTTTGGTCAAACAGAAAAATTACAAAGTGTTCTGAGGTTTCATTCAAGTTTATTCACATAATAACTGCGCAGTTATGAAAAAAAAAGTACAACGTAAAAAAAAGACAATAGTAAATAATACGTTAATAACAAAGAGCAAAAATATCTAGAAAAAAAAAAAGAGGAGAAAAGATGTTACGAAAGTATTTGCAGCAAACGAAATTCCAAATTATTAGCACTTGGGTTATTATTGTTATCATTTACTTCTCTCTTTTTTTTGGGAAAAAACAACTATATCATAATAGTTCACAAAAATAAAGCAAACCCAAAAATGAAGTGAAATTCTGAGAAAAACCCAACAATAACTCAAGTAACAGAAGAAAAATAAACTCACCGGGGTCACACTGCTGGTAAAACTTCTCGACGTCTACAAAAAAAAAAAAATTTGTGAAACCCACAAACAAAACTCGTTAAATCGTACATGAACAAACTTAAACAGGAAAAAAATTCAAAAAATTATGAAAATGAGAGGGAGAGAGAGAACCAGAAGTGAGGGCCTTAATCAAGCCGTTGCGCCTGCCTTTGAAATCGCTGAAGACTTCCTCAACAGTCCGAGGAATTGGGTGCGGTATGCCTTCCATAGCTAAGCTATCTTCCTTCCTCTTCTTCTTCTTCTTCTTCGAAATTTCACGAACCAACCAATTTCAACGTCAACCCTAATCCCAAATCCCCCCCCAAAATTCCAAGCCTCCCTAATAAGAAAGCTCGAATTGAATCAACTAATCAAGCGGACATTACAGGCCGAATTCGCAAGCTTAGAATTGCTCCGAATTCAATCCCGAAAAGGAAAAGCCCCAAAAATCAAAAGAAAATGGGAAAAAAGAAAGGACTAGGGTTTCTGTTTTTTGGGGGGGTCTTCGTTTTTTTTTTTTTTTTTTGAAAGAAAGGGTATAATAAAAACTAGTTAGGGTTTGATTGTTTGTTTTGTTTTTGTTTACTGAGAAAATGAATTTTACAGAGATTTGTGAGGTTTGGAGGTGGGGTTGGGGTGGGAGGGGAAAAGTTAAATATATTTTGCTAATTGTTATGAGAGAACAAAATATATACCAAACCCCTTGCTCTCTCTAGAACTCTATTTTATATATATATATATAGATATATCTTTCTCTCTTAGATTATCTGCCTTTTGTTTTTTTTTTTTTTCTCCTTTTTGTTTTTGACAATTCTTTTTGGAATTTGTTTTGTTTATTTCTTAATTTCTCTGTCCCTTGTTTTTCTTGGTTTTATTATTATTATTTTTTCCTTTGAATTTTTTAAGTCGGAAATGAAAGATATGGAGGACGGCGGGCTTGTTGTATTGGAGTGGGCTTTCAAATACGGGCCCAAGTCTATCAGAAAAAAAAAAAAGAAAAATTGCAAAAACAGATTCTTAAACACATACTTCTAAAATTTTACCTTTTTTTACTCTTCTAATAATATTTTATTAAATTATAGATAATAATTTATTAAATTTTAAATAATAATATGCTAAATTTGCCTGTCACTGGCGATTAGAGATCCGCGTCGGTGATATTTGTTAAATTATCGATTATAATCTGTTAAATTATTTACTTCAAGATAATAAAATTCAATAGGTTAATATTGAGATCTAAAAATCTTTAATAGTATTATTTTAAGAGTATTGATTAAAATTATCTAAGAAAAATTATGGGTCCAAAGTCAATTGGGAGTTTTCACACAGAAGGGTTATGGTGGATGAAACTTGAGGAACTCAATTTGGATTGTTGAGAAAAAAAAAAAACACAATTTGGATTGTTATTACCGGAAATCTAACAGTTATTGCTGGAATCAACAGTGGATTGTTGAGCAAAAAAAAAAACCTCAATTTGGATTGTTATTACTGAAATCTAACAGTTATTGTTGGATTCAACAGTGATTATTGGCTGATAATCATCTTCAAAAAGAAATCTGGTAGATTGTGTGTGGATATAATATATCAGATTATTTTAAAATTTTTATTTTATAAATATCATCCTCGATTTTTTTCAACGCCCGTCACCAAAGTGCAATCTGGTAGATTACCATCAGTATTCCTACAAAAAAAATTAATTAAAATATTCTACTAGATTATTTCTAGAATCATATAGAAGCAGGAAAAAAAAAACATTGAGTAAAAAGTTTACATCAACAAAATTATCATAAAAAAAGTTATAAGAAAAAAATCAAAAAAATAAAAAATAAAAAAATCTCATTGTAACATATCACCAAGCTTGTGCTGCTCTTGCACGGTGCTGCCTCTTTCCATTTATGATTGTCGCCCGTTGGAGAAGCTTGCATCATCATTCTCTTAATAGTTAATTCAAAGACGTGGTCAAAATGACAAATTTCCTATCACTAAATCAGTCGTGCCCTGGCAAGTCACCTAACTTCGCAAATTTGAGTTTTTAATTTAAGCTGAGATGTAATATTTTCTGAAAGCTTTTCACTATAACAAAAAAAGTTAGATGTGATATTTTTTAAAAGTTTTTTACTGTAAAAATCTAAAACTGAAAACTCGAATCGGTGAAATGAACGAGACTCTAATTTTTTCAAAGGTTAAAGAGGAAAATAAACTTAGGAAAAATGTTCCTTATAATTCATTTCTTTACTTTGTATCATTCTCTTAGGTTGCGTTTAGTATGAGGGTTCTAGAATCGGAACTGCGATTCTGATTCAAACTTTTATTTGTTTGTAAAAAATAAAAAATAGTTCTTAAAAACCATTATTTGGTTTGGATGGTTCTGGTCCAAAGTTTAAATCCTGATGTGATGTTTTACATTAGAACCACCTCAAATAATAAAACCACATTCTCTTTGATTTTGGATGGTTCAAACCTCTGATTCTGATTCCGGTTCCAGAACTATGGTTTGGACCCCAAATTCAAATCATAAATCATAATTCTAATTCTAAAATTAAAATCACCATAATTTAAACCATCACATCAAACGCAACCTTAATTTTCCCCTTTCAAATTGATATACAAGAGATGAAGTGAGGCCATAAATTTTATTATTTCTAAGACAATGAATCCCCGTTTATTTTGCTGATTCGAGTTTAGAATTCGAGTTTTGCTACAGTAAAAAGCTCTCACAAACAGTCACATCTAACTTTTTTGCTACAATAAAAAGCTCTTGCATAAAATCACATCTAAACTCGAATTAAAAACTCGAATCGGCGAACTAAACGGATCCTAAATTTTTATTCCCTTTTAATGAGGGAGGATTCCTCCAGATTTCCCAAAAAATTAAAGGGTCACTTTTTATTGTACACCTTGCATTTATATTTCATTTTGTATTTTGAATGTTCTCAAGATTGTACCGTTAAATTTCAAATTTCATGTCAAAGTTGTACAATCGATTAATTTTTCAATTAGTGTTTCATTAAGAGTTTATAACCTACAAATGGTAAATTCGTTAATTCAAAGTATAAAATGTACAAATTTGACATAAATTTAAAGAGAAAGTTACCTAGTATGCCACCCAAAATCCAATAGCTTTTTGTTTATTTTATTTTGCTGATTTTATAAAAATAACTTAGGCAATATAAAAAACATTATATCATAATACAATCTGGACAAAATAATTTGGTATGATATTAAAATATAAGAAAAGGAGACAAATATCCCTTTAGGTTTGGATTTTTAGCCTATACTTTTAATTAATATTATTTTTAGCTAAATAATTATATTAGTCAAAAAAATATTAATTAATAATAAGTGAATAAAAATTTAAACTCATGCACTTTAAAAATAAGTTCAACAATTTCTAATATCGGTTGAATTGAGTGTCATTTTTGTAAAGAAAAAAAAACTATAATCAACTTTTTAAATTCAAAATTTTTATTAAAAAAATGTTGTTTAAACTCGAATAAGGATGGTTAATACACCCTAAGTTTGTCATTTAAAGAATATAAAGATAACTACTATTTCTGTATTTTTTCATTCTATTTGAAATAATCTATTAATTTCCATGATCCCTTTTGAAACATCCGATGAAATTAGAAATGCCCATGAATGACACGCACACATTGAGAAATGGATCCGGGGTTGTTCGGTTACTCCTTTTTTGAGTAACAAATTAAAAAAAAAACAACTCGAGTTATAATTTTATTCAAGTTCATGTTCTTTTAAGTTTAAACTCGGGTTTGAATTCGAGTTTGGGACTAAAATTTGAGTTGAAGTTTCCTCTTCAACTCGAGTTCAGAAACTCGAACTCAAATTAATGAACATTATTTTTTATATTCTTAAAAATGCTATAACTTTTTTGTTTTAATTATGATTGAGATGATTTTTTTTCTATGCGTTGCAACGAAAAGACGAATAAAACCCCACTCATATACCATATTAAAATTTTTTATCAGCATTGAGTTTTTATTAAAATACTATCTAAATACAAATTCAAGTTTTGACTCACTCAAACACAAACTCAAAAAGATTCTTATCTCAAACCATAACTCAAATGTACACAACCAAACACAAACTCAAGTTA